GTAGTGGTAGTTTTAAAACTGTACAAAATGCACCGGTTTATACAGGGGGATTAGCTCAGATGGTAGAGCGCTCGCTTAGCATGCGAGAAGTAGCGGGATCGATGCCCGCATCCTCCATATTTCTTTATTAGATAAAGGTTTCCACTGAAGCCTCTGAAGAAATTTTTGTTCCATAAAAGGAATAAAAATATTTGTGATCACTGATGAGACAATATTTAATAATATCAATAAACTGATCAGATGTGTCTGTGTTCACTCCTTCATAAAGAACATGACAGAGTTCTGCAGCAGAAATAGAACAAAGCTGAGACGGTCGGTATGTTGAGTCATGAACAGCTGATTATTTTAGACTGTGACACACTGACAGAGACACACACACACACACACACACACACACACACACACATACATACATACATACACACACACACACACACACACACACACACACACACACTGTATATAAACAGCACACCGTCCCACTCAGTCTAAACTCCTCCAGCAGCAGCATGTTGTGTCCCAGCGTCTTCCAGCCGTCCCCCTTCACTACGCGGTCTCTCCTGGACCTGGACCTGTTCTGGCCGGTCCGCAGCCTGTGGCCTGAGACCCGGCCGCTCCTCCACCTGGTGGAGCAGGAGGTGCTGCGCCTCCTACTGGAGATGAGGCGGAGCATGGAGCACATGGAGAGGCTGCACCGGAGGATCTTCGAGGAGATCGACCAAACCTGGTCCCAGAGGGGGGCCTTCGAGACCATCGCGGTCCATGAGCTGGGGAAAGACGGCGCCGGCTTTGCCCTCAGTCTGGACACACAGGCGTTCTCCCCGGAGCAGCTGTCCGTCAAACAGGTGGGCAGGAAGCTGAGGGTGAGTGGCCGGACGGAGAGGAAGCAGGACTCCTCCTCCTCCTCCTCCTCCTGCTGTCAGGACTTCATGAAGGAGCTCCAGCTGCCGGACGGCGTCGACCACGAGGCCCTCACCTGCTCGCTGGTGGGGGGGCGGCTGCAGATCCAGGCCCCCCCGGAGAGAGCGCTGCATGATGGGAAAGAGAGGCTGGTGCCCATCAGACTCACCTCTTCGTCAGAGAGCAGCCCTGCTGAGAGGAACTGAACAGAGTGAAGATTCTCGTCTTTTCAGAACAGAGTGAAGCTTCTCGTCTTTTCTCATATCTTTGTTTTAAACGTTTTATTTCTTCTAAACAATTTGACTTTGAATATAAAAAATGATATTAAATATTTAAATAATTCTCATATTTGACTCGTTATATTAACATTCACATTAGAACTGCTGCTAAATAAAACGGTTTCTATCACTGAAGAACTCGTTCTTGATGCGTCACATTTCTATCATAAATAAACCTCATTTTACTTTAAATATATCAATAAAAATACTTTTTCTCATTCAATTAATTTAAAAAAAATTCCAAAACTTAACTTTTTGTTCTCTTAAAATGTAAACTATAATCTCAAATGTGACTTTTTGTGCAAAACAATAAACAATAATATGACGATTCAAAAATAGAAAATATGAAATTAAATATGGTAAACAAACAAACAAGAGTACGTTAAAACAAGTATAGTATTGAAGAGCAAAGACGTGTAACTGTAAGAGGATGTCAGAGTCTGAGTCAGTGGGGGTCCTGGTCTTAGTTCTGATGGCCAGACGTGTGTTTCCTCAGCTTCACACGCTGCTTCCTGTCAGACAGGAAGTCTGTGATCCACGTGGAGCTGGTAGACCTGGTCCTGCAGCAGAGGCGGTGTTGAAGGCAGAGCTGAAAGTCCACAATCAGGATCCTGGTCCACATCCTGAGGAGTCCAGATCCTGGAGGTCTCTGTCCAGAATAGAGGGAGTCGTCTTGGTGGTGTGTGCGTGTGTGTGTGGGGGGGGGGGATTGGGACTTCATGCTCATAGAGTCATGACGTTTGTCATAATTAATAAAATAGCTTCGTAACATCTTAACTTTATTTTTTTTAATCTCATAAAAACACAAATATTCTGACTTCTTCTTCTGTGTTTATTTGGATTTTCTTCTTCTTGTGTGTGTATTCAGTTGTATTTTGGTCGCTTGTCTTTGTTTTAAATGTTCTATACGAATAAAGTTCGACATTTTAATCGACTTGATGACAATAAAAACACAGGACACCAGTTTTTCTCCTTTCTTTGTAAAATAATTCTCAATAAACTTAATTTATTCACAAACTGCTTTTCAAATTTGCCATGTCGTCATTGTTCTTTTTTTTTTTCTTTTTTTTTTTTTTTTAAATCACATACAATAAAAAACATTTCTAAAAGACGAGATGTCCGAGTCTCTCCGCTAACTTTGTACACGACTCCTCCGTCCTCGAGCTTTTTTCATATTTTATTTTTTAAAACACGATGCGTTCATCGCCGACACGTCGTCACGCTCAGACATCAGATTAGAAATATTAAGAAAAAACAGCAGAAAGTAAACAGAGGGACTAAGAGTTTAACAGCTACGGTACACATCTCTTCTTCTTCTCCGTTAGTTTAGTCTTTTCTCTTTTTTACGTTTTGATTTACAGAATAATAGAATATGTTCAGTTAAGGCTTATGTCGGGCGTTATGGAGCGATCAACAGAAACAAACGAACGAACCAGGAGGGGGAGGGGCGCTCGTTTATGTGTGTTACGGGGACACTGGTTGTGTTACAGGTGCACCGAGTGTGTACATGTGTGATACTGGGATAATGTTTTATGAATTTGTGTTACAGGGACACTGTGTATATTTGTCTTACAGGACCAATGTGTTTGTGTACATCTTAGAAGGAAACTGGGTGTGTATGTGTGTTACACGGACACTGTAGTCTGCAAGTGTACTACAGGGGCACTTTGCATGCATATGTGGGTTAGTAGGACATTGTGTTCAGTAGGTGTGTTACTGGGGAAACTTAGTGTGTGTCTGTATATGTGTATAAAAAGGACATTATGTTCTGCATGTGTTTTAGGGACTGTATATGTGTTACAGGGACATTGTGTGTGTGTGTGTGTGTGTTACGGAGACATTGTGTTTGTGTGTGTGTTACGGAGA